CCTCGGTATGCTCCAAACTCTTTTCCCAGTGCTGCTGGGCACAGTATTTACCTGTACAGCATCTGACAGAGAGATTGGGAAAACCGACCGTGAGTGTGGCACGCTCCCGGATCTGCTGCCTGCCATTCACGCCAGGGCTTCTCGGGCAAGCTGCGCGGTCCCTCACCCAGGTGTGCAGGGAACCACCCTGCAGTAGAAAAGCCTCCAGGCAAGCCTGGGGTCACACTTTCAGAGGTGCTCTATGGACGGACAATAAATCAGGTCCTGAGGGCAGTCTCGGGGCACTTCTCAGAACTGATTTTCCCCCATCCTGTGCTTCCCTTCCACTGACCATATTTGAGCCAGGTGAACAAGAGCGTACCCCAAGTTCTTAAGGCATATAAACACTATCTTTTCTGCCAGCAAGGCAGCATTTCCTCCTGTAATAATACTTTTTTCCAATCTACCTAGGTCTTCAATTTCTCTCACTCTCCTGCCCTGAAGTAAAACGCATTTGTTACCGCACATGCGAAACCCACCAGCTGTCCTGCAGCTAGCACAGTTGCACTGCTGCAAAACCCCTCACCTTTGAAGCGTCCCCCACTCAGCACACTTGCATCTTCACTCAAGTGTGTGCCGAGGTCCAGCCGCCCACAGAGGGCACTACTTGTAAATGTAACCGAGCAAACGCGTTGTCACTTTATGTCACATCAGCCCTCGGAAGGCTGCAGTTTCCACCCAGAGCAAATCCAAATGCTTCATGCATATTATTACTGCTATCTCTAAGAAGAACGGGAGCAGCAGGCTGATGCCGCACAAAAGAATACCATGCATTCATACTTATGCTGAGTTGTCAGGTTTCGCATTTTGTATCGCAGTGGAACGCCTCTAGCCCCCTGAGAGCTGAACTACATCAGTTTAGTGACATAAGGAACGAGAATGGTACCTCAAAGTGTATTTGATAGTTCAGTATGCAACCATGCATGTCACTTTGTCTTGGGCAAGGATGAGGACAGACATGCTCTTCCTCTGTCCACAACATGCGAACTATAGACAATCCATGTTACACACTCTTAAATGTTTAAGCCAAGTTTCCGGTTACTCCCTTTACTACTCCAGCCAGTGGAATATTTTTCTAAAGTCCCCAGTTCCGGGATAGGGAGATAAAGGCTTTAAATATCAGAGACACACTGACCTCACTGATAGGAATTTTATTGCTAGACTTCCTTGGGTGTCGCGATTTCAACCTGTAATTTCTAACAAAGGACCCAGATCTAGTCTGCTGAGCCTGCTTTTATATGTACAGAGAGATAAGTGCAGGTTTAAGCAAACACCTACTAATAGGGGAAAAAATCTATGGCCTTCTCACCTGCTTACCTCATTTTAAGTGATGTAAAAATCCCAGCTATGTGCAATGTATGCATGCAGAACAGAGCAGCCAAAAAGGGAGGAAAAATATCTGCCTACCTTGTATCCCACTTCTGTGCCACCTCCATTGCTTGGCATGCTCCAAGGGGACATGCAGGAATGTGCTCAAGGAGAGGGACAGCTTACAGGACAGTAAAAGAAAGTACTTTGTGCTTCCAGTCCACTGAGGAAATTGCTGAGCTGTTGCTTCTTTAAATACCAGACCCACAGTTAAGCTGAAATGAAGTTTTAGTCTTCATTCAGTCCTCTCTCCTAAGTGCGCCTCAACTTCTAGTTTAGTTTTAATGCAGCCAAATGTGCTGAAAAATAGCAGCCAAAATTTGCGTTCAATCCAAGGGGATGATGGTGGTGGTGTCTTGTTGGTATTCCTATATTTAAAATACAACCTTTGTCAATCCAGTACAATCTACCTTTTTCATTTCTGTCTGATAGTCCCGTATTTCTCTCTTACAAACCATCAAGATTGTTTTTGTCTTCAGAATCTCTCTAGAAGCTTCAGCTCCTCAGCTTTTTGCAGCACAAGGAACCCAGAGAGGGATTAGAAACCCTGTAAAAAAACCCATGTAAAAACATGTTGGTAATCACAATCATGTATTTTAATCACTGAAGCACACTCTCAAATTACAATATTCGAAGTAGAGACCAAGTAATGCAAGGCCAGTACTCGAGTTCCCGACATCACACTTTTATAACCTGAATTTCTACTTTGGTTCTTAGAGTTACATACTCCTGTATAGATGCATGTTACTAGCACGAGTCTCCTCTAAACAGCAGTGGCTGTTTGCACTGTTTCTATAAAACCAAATTTTCACCTGCTGAGAAGAAAACGAGAGGAAGACTCCACACAATGGATTGAGAAAGGTAGTATGAAAGCTAACAGCCTTTTTTCAAAGGAATATTTTACATTTAAATCCACTCCGTGTTAGTTTTGCAGGACTGCCTTGTTTGTCTAGGTAAGCTGCCTAGTCCATAGTAACACAGTAGAGCAAAGATTTTAGATAATTTCCTTTTCCCCCCCCAAGTTTGAAGACTAATTCAACCAGCAAGTTTCCCTGCAAATGCAACGTTTCAAAAAGACCATTTCAATTTTAATTCATGTAACGTATCATATTAAATCCACACGAACAGTGCTCATTGAAGCCCAGGGGTCCTGTTTTCAGGGAGAGGTTCAGGCTGAGAGGACAATGTGACAATTCATCACATTATAGAAGCTGAAAGTACAACAGAAGTTGATGCCATTAGAGTTAGGCGACTTCCACTTATGTGAAACTAGAAAAGAAACCTCACTGATAATATCTGTCCGCTCTTGAACGTACAAGTTCGGGAAGGGCTGCAGACCAGGGCATGGGCTGTACAGGCAGATCTCAGGGCGCGAGAGCAGCAGATAAACCCGCAACCCCCTTCGAGTGCATTTATTTTCCAGAGCAGGTGCTAAAGCCAACCTGCTGGAAACATTTGCCTTCTGCAGGCTTGCCGAAGCCCAGAGTTGATGCATGTTCCACGCTGGCACTGCCAGCACTCATAGCGATTCATTCCAGTTTCTGGAAGATAAATGCAGGCTGGCTTCAGCCCACGGGACCCCACGGCCAGCAGCGCCCAAACCCCCGTCCTCCCCGGGGAGCGACAGGGCTGTCGTTTCCTCAAGGGAAACGTTAGATGCCCAAGATGCAACTGAGGCTGATGCCACAAGAACACACACACGAGGACAAATAAGGACCGGCCATGTTAGGGATAAAGCTGCCACAAAAATGAACAGGGTCATCTTGTCTCCAGCAGGATGTAAAGCCCAGCTAGTCTGTAAAATCCAGCAGACCTGAACATCTCCCCTCACAAGTGGGATCTCACACCCACTCACCCCTTTTCAGATTAGACATCTGTGATTAATGATGCCAGGCAGTGACACAAAGCAATTTGTTTATTCAGATCAACCTTTTAATCCCATCTTGCCTTCAGAATAAATTATCAAATAAACTCTTCCATGAACTATACTCTAAATCATGAGGTGGTCACAGGACAAAAACTTCCCACCAAAGAAGAAAAAAAAAAAAAAAAAATCAAATTTTTTTTGGAACTTGTTTTGTTTTCACTGATTTGTTTCTTCCCAAAACATCAGGATTCTGCAAAATTTTAATCTGACACAAAAATCAGAATGCAGTAAACAGCAGATTCTTTGCTCAATCACTTGTCAGTTATATGATCATAAAGCAATACTAATACTTTAACAAGGGAATTGCTTCTACAAAATCCTGATAAAAACATTCCTGGAAAACAGTCATTTAAAAAAATGTTTCAGTTGGTTTTGATATGTCATAGCAGCCTGTTTTATTGGGGTAAGTTGATTAAAAAAAAAAAGAAAAAAACCTGACACAGCATTTTGCAGCAGGTTATCTCAATGCACAACAAGCTCTTAGAAATTAAGCCTCAAAACATCCCTGTAAGCCAAGTGCTTTACAAGCAGGAAAACTTGCATCAACAGGCTGTCACATGTCAAGATCATACAAGGACTCGGTCTTGACTCTTGTGATGATCATATCACATCACAATATTTTGTAGAGAATGATTTATTATGACTATGATAATTACTGCTCAGGTTTCATATTAGTGTTATCCTGCTGGAAAGTAACCCCTCCATAAGATGGGATGTTTCTGAGTAGAACACACTGACCCATTACAAACCTTTTCCAGATTTAACCCATAACTGTGAGCTTTAAAACACTAAACCTGCACGGCTCCTCAGTTATTTTAATACAAAAATAGAAGTGCTGCATCATGCTAAAACTGCAGAGTAAGGCTGATGTAGCAGTGAGCACCAGCTGCGTCATTAGAGAAGCACAACCCTACAGATCACAGGCTGTATGCCCCTTCTTTTACTCTAAAGGGTTTTTTTTTTCTTGTTTTGCTTTGACTTGGCTTTAGATTTTGGCCTAGCCAGTTGCCAGTGCTCCCAGACACCTATTCCCAAGAGACTTGTCTTGCCCTCATTACCAGGAGGTGTCACATTGAAGGATGTGAAACACCCTTGCTGCCGACCTCGGGCTGCAGTCCCTGCTCTGGGATTGCCGGGGAAAGCCACGCGCCCCCTTCTCCCTGCTGGGGCAGGAGTCAGCGCTAGCACCTTGGGCAACCCCTTGTCCATAGTTTTCTACTTGCACCATCTCTCTCCATAGCCAAGAGATGAAAAGCTTCCCCTGCCAGCTGCCCGCAGCACCAGGCTATCAGGCAGCTGGTCTAACTCTTTACTAACTGCTTCTTGTCCCTCTAATCACAAGATTATTGATTAATAATTGTATATTTCTGTAAAAGAGCAAAAATGCCTCTCTGCGTGAAAAAGTTTAAATATATAAAAACACTTCATAAAAATATTTATTAAAAAAATCAAAATGCCCCATGAGCCTGTAAACGTTGCCTGTAAAATCCCTGTTAACTGGAATAATTTGAAATACAGTCAAATTCAGGCTCTTTTCTGCCCTGTCCAGTAAGGTAACCAATAGAAATGCCATTTCTGTTGTACTTTGACCCTCATCCCACCCACTTTTCTTGTTTATTTCCAATACGATAGTTCGATTTCCCGTCGGCAATTTTCTTTGGAGGTATCATTTGTCTTTGCTTTTAGCAGAGTTCTGCACAGCCTGATTCCGAGGCTTTCTTACGGAGTGGGCTTGAGGTCTGATCGGTAACATGAGCAACACCAGGATGCTTAGAATGTGCATGTGGAAATACATAGACCTGGGAAAAAAAGCAGAAAGAAAATATTGTATTTTTGTTGGTAATAACATGAATTGTGCAACCTCAGTAAGTCCATGCAGAATTTAGGGCTAAGCGATGAATGCAGAAAGTATGAACCTGACATAGAAAGCACAAAATACACCCTTGAATTTCACACAGCCTACACATGTGATATCCACTGGCATCGATGAAAATGTTGCCATGGATGTTAATGAGGCAAGGAATCAATCAACAAACTCCAGAATCCAAAGTCTGACAGCTCAGATAAACCCATGTAATTCAACCCTAGACTTATTCAGCCCATCTCTCTTTTAATGTTAGAGTACACAAGGCTACATTATGAAGAAACATCCTTCATGCTTAGGACAGAAAACCTGTACAAGTTTTAAAAAAATTTTAAAAAGTGACAGAAAGAAAAAAATTCATTCCAAGTGCTGAGATCTGAAATAAATCAGAACACTCAACTTTTAACTGGGGAAGGTCAGGTAATGATGTTTACAGAAGGGTTGTGTTTTTAAAGGTCACTACTCAGAGATATCTTTATTTGATATCTTATTAAATATCAAATATTTTTATTTCAAATAATTTGGTATACACAAGATTGAACAGAAATAAAAAATACTTAAACCAATTACATGAGGCTCTGGCAGCTTGGGGAGGACGACGTTTGGGAGCAGTATGGTCCAGCTCTTAACCACAGAGATGCGCCTTTCTATGGTCTCATTTAGGCTTCTTACCAGAGTTCTTAATATCCTTGTAAGGTGCTTAAGACAACTGCTAGGTGTGCAGTGCTCCAAAAATTCATGCCCTTGTCCAAAGGCCTACAATTTCCTTGCCTAACCGTCTCTAAGTTTAAGCGTTAACGATGTTCACAGTCACTAGGGCAAAAAATACTAAGGTGATGACCCAACTTGGGGCAAGTGTGGAAAATAATTTTCTTTGTTCAGAACTTTGGTAAAAGTAACATTTCTGCCTTCATGGATGCTGTCATAGTGCTAACAAGTTCTTTATACATATTTATTTCTGTAGTTTTGATGTTAGCAATGTAATCTCACAGAATGACATTAATATTTACTACACGAAATGGTCTTTTGTAGTACAAAGGGAATCAACTTCACTCATGGGGTAAATTTATAAACAAGTTTAATATTTTAGTAATTTCTCTCCTTTTTTGGTCTGATTGCTGTTTGCTACTTTTGTCTTGAAAGACAGAAAAATTAGATATTAACAAGGTACTTGGGAAAGCATCTTATCAAAAGTAAGAAAGATTTGGAGTCAATTTTATATGGTAAGTTTCTGTGGTGAAATCAAAAGTTTTAAGAAACAGGAATTCAACCCCTTTCAGACAGACTTACTGACAGCAGTTATCTTGACTACCAGTTTTATGTCTTTTATATTAGAGAAGGGAATTGTCTTTCTTTTTAACCAAAACCTGTTATTCTATGTTGACAGTTCACTGTGGAATGAAAGAACAGTAAAGCAACGTAGTCCAATCTCCCTTTTCAAATTATTTTCTCAATTTCTCTATTTCAAATTATTTTTATTAAAGTATATTCAATACACTTTGCAACACCAGTGTTTTCTTATTTTTAAGGAACCTAGGGAAGTATTCACTTCCTATGGAAGTATTCAAAAAGAAAAGCATACTCATTTCAAGAAGTAATGCTCTGCCAGGCACCCTCCTTATCTCCTGCTGACCAATCACCTCTCCTGTTCTACTCACTTGGCAGCTGGAAACCTGGTCTTTTCTCATCGAGTTCTTCCTACTGCCAACTCATGTCATTCTTAACCTCTCCAGCCTTGGCCACTGTTAATGGTGGAGACTTGACTGTTTTGAAAAAGGAATCTGAATACGTGAAAGGTCACATAAGGACACAGAAAGACTGAGAAGTGGAAGAGAAATGCTCTGCCTTGGCATTATGATTATCTCATTAAGTTATGGGAGTGCAAAAATCACCCCTTACACGTTATTAAGCATCCTGTTTGAACTCCTTTCAAATTTGATGAAATGCCAACTGCCTTTCAGTGTGGTTTGGGTTATTTAACAAAAGCCTGTGCCAGTCTGGAGAATAATAGTCAAGAGGAGAGAACTTACTTGTAAAACTTAATCGTGGGCTCAACAGCCAGCATAACAAAGGGCGCAACAGTATAGCACACGGCCAGTTGAGTGACAACCCAGGTAACAACGTCGTAGGCTATCTTGAGAGGCACTGACGAGAGGAAGTAGTGTCTGCAATTGTTTCTTATCTGCAGGTCAGGGAAAAGTAAACAGAAAATTATATAAATTCATTTCTTAGGCAAAGTCACGCGGACACATTGCAGTGTATGACTCTCCACTTATCGTCAGCATTAGTATTACAGAAAAATTTGTACGCCAGTTGGGAAGCACTGAGAGTAGGAAGGAAGACAGAAGTGTACTGACTGGCATATGCAAGATCCAACAGTTAACCAGTGGCAAAGAGAGAAGTGTCCCCCAATTTCCTCTGTCATAATCATGGGAGCTGGGTATCTGGCACAATATCTTTGGGGAGGGGAGTTGTTATGATTTGATCTTTCTCCCTCCTCGTTTTGATTTATTACTGGTTCTCAATGGTGAGACAAAGTTACTTTAAATGAACAAATACGTGTTTATACCTGCAAGCGTGTTCTGTTCTCTATAGATTTTGGTTTAGCGTCACATCTATGAAATCCTCATAAATGAGAGGCAAAGCACATGTTAAGACCACATGTTCAGCAACCTGCTCTAGCCATAGCAGTTAATACTGATCACTAGTTTAATTCACCTTTCAAACTGAGATGGTTGCTTATCCATAGTCAAACTCTGAAAGACAACCGTGGTGCTTCCCAGCCCTGCACAACTGGCTGGTTCAGCCCAAAAGATCAGTAGTGATAAATTTAACAACAGTGAGACCCAAAAAAACATCTGTCTTTGGTGACTCTACCCAAGATGAGGCCGATAAACACAGAGACTAGTTTACTGCATCACTTACATCCACATGGAAGAGTTCAAGTTTGGACTAATGCTCAACCCATAACAGCTTCTTATGAAAAACTGGACCCAGAGCCAATTACATGCCAGCACGTAAGCAACACGACGTAGCAGAAGTCTGGACTCCAACATGACCTAGCAGAGGTCTGAACCCAAGCTTAGCCTTGAATCGCAAGCTAATTTGACTGCATGGACATAGCCGGTGGCACTACCAACTGTACACCCACAAGTAACATTTTCTCCAACAGCCAGGGACAGCACTGCAGCACATGCAGAACTGGTGCTGGTTATAACTGCTGGGGGTACTTTGTAATTAGCATCAATACAGAACAAAGTTTCAGTGAACATCAAGCCCGCAAAGGCATGAAAGAGGGCTCACAGCAGGGACAAGCTGCTTGACTGTGTCAGGGTGATCCCTGCAGTTGGCAGCTGGATAGTATCTAGCATGGGCCCTAGAAGAGAACAATGAAAGGTACGTACTGCTCTGGCTGCGAGTGTGATAAGGATTCCAGTGAGAAATGTAAAATAATATCCAGGATAGATACCATGCCACAGAGCCGACAGGATAAACGTTAAAGCCGTAGGGTACCAGGGAGCTCTGTCATAGCAAACGCTGCAAAGATGAAAACAAAACAAGAAGACGCTGAATACAACTGAACAATCGACACCACTTCACACCCTTCTCCGTTTTTAAGGTCTTATTCTGTTTTCTTAATGGCCTTATCTTGCCTCCTTTACAGATGAGGGCATGAGGCACTCTCCCTTCATTTAGATGGAGGGTTAGATGGAAAGAGCAAGCATGCTTTTATGCACTGAGTATCCAAAGAGTGCCTGCACAAATATTTCCAGTGCTCACAGCATTTAAATAAGTAACAGGGCAAATGGCAGGCAAAACTTCTCTTTCATCTTTATACCTCTATCTGAAATCACACACTATCCTTCAAAACTCTGATGGCAGATCAAGAGCCAGTCGAAGGACAAAGAGACATGACCCCACCCTTCACTGGTGAACAGAGGTATTTTTAGGCGCTGTTATCTGGCAGATGCTGGGAACAACAGGGAATGTTGTAAGCTATTGCAAAGCAGGGGATTTCTGCTAACGTTAGCAGCCCAAAATCTTACTCCAAAGATGCAAGCGAATTACATCAGTTCAAGAACACACTAACTGGTCTATTTGGCTATCTGAGCTTTAACTGAAATGCTGTGTTCCGAAGAAACGAGTCAAGATAATGCACTTCTTACCAGGAACATCATTTGAGTCATGAAAAAAAGTACACATTGACTTTTAAAAATATCATGATAACTACAATAAATCTGTGCCTGCATTTCAGACACCGCATTGACTGTACGCTGAGCCAAAAAGTGTAATTAGTAACGGGAGACAGTCCAATCTACAAAATTTGGACTTATGCTAGTATTTATATGTGCCTTAACAGGCATGTGTTAAAATCAGATCCTGTCAGTGCTTTAAGTCTCTTCTCCGTATCCTAAATAGGGAGTCCCTAGCAAGCATCTTCTGGTAACTCCAAACTGGACTACACTGGGGCTCTGAAGATTGTGACTTCTCTCCAGTTCTAGCTGAACTGGATCCCAGTGACACAAGGCTCGCCTCCAGTAGTAGTACGCATGGAAACATAACATAGCAAAGTGAGAAGTACAGCAAGAATAATGGAGGCAAACAACAGCCTAAAAGATGCCATCAAAATGCTATGACTTTTTATTATGAAAGATCTGAACAGTTCGTTGATGGTTTTGCTGATCCTGTACAAAATGTGGGCCTTTTACATTTGCAGCAATAAAAATTTACAGCACCAAATACCCTTGTATACCACCAACTGTTACAGACACAGGAAATAAAGACAGACAAGAGGCTATACATTTATGAGATTCACCAGTCAGTGTTTTTCCAGGCCATCTAGAATTTTGGGGTCTCAAAAGCACATTACTGTTTCATTACTCTTACCGTTTTAGCCAGGCAGCTGTCTGAATATTCCAGTTTTCAATGTATATTTTAAAACTCGTTGCAGTCTAAGAAAGAAGTTCACATGAAATGTTAGCACTGAAACCTGTAAAATAATACTTGCATTTTAAATTAGAGAGGTGATACATGGAAAATATTAATTCTAGTAGCTAACTGTTGTGAAGACTGTGCCACAGTCCATTATTATACTAATATGTTTTGGGAGGGACATTAACTAGGCTGATTGCTCACCATTAACACTTGGCACTTGCTGTAAAATCTCACTTTGTTTTGTAAAATTAAATACAATGCTTGGTTCTTTTTCAAATTATGGGAAATCTGAAAAGCTTTCTTGTTTTAAATGCTTGGCCTTCCTTTCAGCTCATAAACAGCTTCATTTTTGGAAGAGATATCTTGCCACCCATTACGCAGTCTGGACTTCCGTAGAGTGTTATTAAAACAAAGTGTTATAAAAACTAGAAGAAATGCATTATTATTTGGAGAAGGAAGGGGGAAGATTGAAAAACATGAACAAAAAAATTTAGGACTAAATTTAGAAGCCAATTCTTAGCCCGCTGCCCAGCTTGAGAAACCAGAGTGGACTCTGGGGTCCTGGAAGAACCACCTGTACCTCCTTACAGCACCAGTTCTCCCAGCTTTAGGGGACTGCTGGACTCCGTTCAGCATCAGTTCCCCTAATCCTGGTCAATTTCACCTCTGGTGGTTCCCCATCCCTGCTCCCCCTTTTTCCTCGCCTGCTGACAGAAACCTCCGAGGACTTCCTCACTAAGCAGGGACATGATTCAGTGACACCACATTATTTTCCCATATCAGCTGAACAGAAGGACACACTGAAAAGATGGATTAAAGGCAAAGGTTTCCAAGAGGAATATGCAGATATTTTTGCACTTCTGCGCAGAATCCTGAAGGCTAGCACTTCATCTTCTGTGTTTAAAGAGTTAAAATGATTAGCAATTCCCAATGCAGTACTACCACATTTTAACTGCATTACTGCACCAAGAGAAGCCAAGAAAAGTATAATTTCTCTTCCAACTAATATTGTCACTCTCTTTTCGCATCCTTTAAGTTTACCTGTTACATTACCAAGAGAGAAAGTAGTCATTGGCTGACAAAATATGCATGCTATCAATTTAGTCCCCGTCACATTTTAATGCCCTCACAACTCCTGCCACGTGCTTATCTTTACTACAGATCAGGTCATTTCCTAGCCACATTTAGCACTCAGGTTCCCAACTCTAAAGCAATTTTACATATGCAGGTGGCTATACCTGCTGAAAACGCACTGTACAATCACACTTGAACTTCAACTCCCAGAACAGTTGTTGGTGCATAAAGCGACAGTTCAAGGCTGACCCAAAGTAATGGTCTCTGTAGCCTCCCTTTTTCTCATTGCACATGATCAAATCAATGGAGAACACTGTGTTTTATGCTCCTGGAAATAATTTCTCCACCCTGATCTCTATTGCCCATGTGACCAGTAAAGGAAAAAAGTTTTGAGGGGTCTACAGTTCAATGGGTAGAGAGGAGCAAAGGCTCCTGTTTCTTTAATTTTGTTTGACTAAAGAGCATTGCCTGCACTTCACTTTCCTCATTCAAGCAGAAACTGCCTCATCCCATCAAGGTAGGAATCATCTCCTGCCCCAAAACTGAATCAGATATTGATTCAAGATCTCAGAGTGGTATCTAGGGTGCTGCTGTCATTGAGGAGTACAAAGCATTCCTGGGCTGTGTATTCTGTACCGCTCAAGGAGAGATGTACACTGAGGATTAATTAAGGTAAAAAAGAAAAAAAAAAGACAAACGATGTTGAGAAACAGAGAATGTATAATGATACTTCCATTTTTGGCATCTTTCAATGAAGAATTACAGGGGCTCTTTCATTTTGGAGAAGAGCTATTAAAGCACATTCACTTAGTTCCAGATCATTCAGCAATAAAGCAGTCAACTTATTTTCATCTGCTTTTCCTTTTAAAATCATAACTATAGAATTACAGGGGGAAGCTCCTCCTATTTCTAAAGAAAAGAAGCCTTTAGAAAGCAGTGTCAGACACAAACATTTTCACATCCCACTGGCATTCACAAAATATTCTTCAGGGCAAACAAATTACATTGGCCATCTTTTGCATTAGACAAACAGACATAAATAGCTTACAAAAGACTAATGGATGTTAAAAGCATACTGCAGTCACAAGAAACATGTGACTTGTTTTGAGAAACAGTGCAGTTTGCTGGATGGAACTCCAGATCAGCAGCCATCTAAGCTCTATGTGGCCCTGCCAGTTCCCATTCTGGTTGCTCAGTTTGTACCTGTTATCTCTCCGACCCTTGCTTGTCTCCATTTACAAGAGGCACTCCAGGCATGTGCAGGGACCCAGCCCTTGCAAGTGTCTGTGCAACGCCTACTTGCGGCGGCCTCTTTCACTGCCACCACCCATCTCAACTGGGTTACAAAAGTGGAAGACTGTTAGAAGTAAATAAACAGAATACACCACAGATGGTGGAGAATCATAGCTGCGAGCAATTTATTGACCCACTGAACTCAGCCACAATCTACAGTAATTGACTGCTCATTTATTAAACATCTGATTAATCATTTATTAGCCTTCTATAAACTATTTAGAAACGCAACCTGAATACACAGCATGACGAAGGCTGTGTGACAGATGCTTTTTATCTCCCCAGGAGATAAAATACAAAACCTCTCCATGTTAAAGAGAGGCAGCATGGTGGCATGGACTTATTTTCCTTCCAGCAAAGCTTCTCCCCATTATCACGCCCATTTCTCTATAATTATGCCAATCCAGCCACTCCTTTAACTCACCTCAATGTTCCAGATATTTAAATTGGACAACAGGTCCCAGCGGAAAGTGCCCCTCTCATCAACTCCACTGAATCCATAACCAGCTGCGTTGTTGACTGCATCTGCTGCAATGTCAAAGCAAACTGGGTCAAATCAGACTGCTGGAGGAGCTGTGTTTTCTTACAAGTCAGTATGACACTAAACACACATTTGGGCAAGCTTTATAGCAATTAGCATCCTCTCTTTCAAAGAGAAGCTTCCTCTGGGCAAAGGGTCATTACTATAAGACGACACAAGAGTCATTTCCGCAAGAGGAAAGACTAGCTACTCCTTGGCCAGAAGAAATAAAATAATAAAATAAAAATAAAATAACAATGGATAGAAATCACTTTTCCCATTATTTTGCCTTTATTATCAATCTGAGATAGATATACAAGAGTTGCCATAAAGTGAATTAGCATTTTCCTCAAAAGGGTACCTGGTTGTCACAGCATTTTCCAGAATTCAGAAAAACTGTAGTATCTCAAAGACATGCTTACCATTTCTACTGAGTTCCAACATGGTTGTTTTAATTAAGACTTTCATTCAGACTTCTGCAGACAAAGCCTTTTGCTAATCCTGTTGCTCAGTGCCTCCCTAAGTACCTCACCATCTCTACAAATCAAATACTGAGTAACTTCAACTACAGACGTAAATACTTTTAAGTGCAAATAAAAGCTTGGGTAACAGTAGGCATTTCACATGCTGCACTCTTGCTCTTTCCCAGGGCACCGGTCAACTACCTCCTCTCTCAGCCTTGCCTGGGAGCCATCTCATCACTGGGTCTCCAGATCCTGCTTTTAACGCATCCCTGCCAGAAATCCTCTCTCAGAGTACTAAGAAAACAGAAGGGATTCATTATCTCTGGGCCATGAGATGCAGCCAACACTGAGCATTATTGGAGGATAAAGGAAAGTGAAAATACAGGTAAGGCTTTTCCTTCTAGATCATCTAGAAAATACAAGCCTGGTTAAGTTATGCTTTAAAAAGATCAGCATTTCTTTTCCAAGAATGAAAACTGATTTTCCTTTGTAAGTGCTATGAGTAGAGGCACAAGCTTATGGAGGAATCCCAAAGCACAAAACCAGGGAGAGAACCTAATTAAAAGCAACAAGACTGACAATAAATAAATAAATAAACAACCTTCTCTAACCTGAAACTTTCCATTTTTTTTTCCACTTTACTAAAGGAGCTAGATTTTACTGGTGGAAGGAAAGGTCTGCAAGTTTTTAATTCTCTCCCTGATTTAAAAAAACAAAAAAAACCCAAAAAAACAACCAAACAACAACCCTGCCTGAAATTGGCCCATAGGACCCTGCCCAATCGCAGAGACTGGAGCTGCGAGTCACCCCAGAGCAGGGGGACTCCTGGATTTGCTCCCCCTTGCTCTAAGGACCGCTTAGCATTTCTTTGCCAAACACAAGAAACCAGAAATCCAGGGACATAATAATACAGCAGACCCATCAGCCTTTTGCTTCCTGAGCTGCTGTCTGCAGAGCAAGGTGTGAAGTGCGGAAGAATCGCAATTGCCCACGCTTGAATTGCTCACAAAACCCCAACCTCCGCAAAGCCCAGCAGAGGTTTCCCTGCTGACTTGAACAGCTCTGGCATATCGCTTTCACAGCTCCTTGGATGCAGGCACTCAGTCCCGAATTGGTTTCATCGACTGCCCCGAGTTAAGTTTGCAACCACATTCCTATGACTATCGCTAATGCAGCGAGAAGCCTAATTTTCTGTCTTTCCATGGATCTGGAGGAATTCAGCAGCACAGCTCTCACACAATAGTGTGACTGTCCTTTTCTGAGAACAGGAAGCGCTTATCAGCCATTTTTGCAGGCACTTTCACAACGCCCTGGGCCACGCCGCCAGGAGCTAAACTGCGAAAGGATAAAGGGTCTGCTGTTCTGCTGCCTGGATTTGTAATGTGAATTATAGAGGCCTCATCCTCCAGTATGCAATGCATGCCTTTCCCAAAACCCCTTATTTGTAAGATACTTCTACTACCTCTACGGCTTAGTCATGTCATAAATCCAAGTTCAGTTTCTCTCTCTGATAACAGACTTCTAGTTAACTATAATGTCGGAAAAAAATGGTAGCAACAATTTAACATTGGATCCCACAAAAATAAGTTTCTGAACAAGCAATTCTTTATCCCAAAGCCTTTCCCATCCTACACATGCCAGTCCTGGCTGTCTTTCTTTGATCTGTCAGTTTTATTCCCAGCAGTTTAATCACAGCCTCACAATGAATTTCCCTGGGTCTTTCCATTCCATCCCAATGACACTCATCTCAGTTTCAGGTGTATGCATTGCTGGCTGTGCTTTCAGGATCTCCCCTACAGACAAAGTCTTGTAACACCAGCAAAAAAACTGAGTCTCTCAATTTTCAGCCTGGCCTAGAAGGATTTGACTCCTCACACATAGATGGGAAAGGTGACTTCTAAAAGGAAGAAGGTAAAATGCAAAAAGATTATTTTGACCACCAGTCTAGCTGGCTCCCAATAAAAGAAATTTGCTTCTCTCTCTAATGAGCCCTCTTCCTTCTCTTCTCCTTTTCCTTGCAGAGATTCTTGGGTCCTTCCCATCACCTCCTCCGTTCCCCACCTTCCCCAGGGTTCTCCAATCCTTTCTCTTGACGGCTCAAAGCTAACATGTGTACAGGACCACACAGTGCCTTAGAGGCAAAGCCTAATTTCAGCCCTCCAACAAGCACTACAGCTTTCTAATACAGAGCTATGTGCTAAAGATGCCCCACAGGAGGAGAGACGTCTGTTTGCATTATAACATATTTGTAAAGCCTGAGCCAGTGTGACCAATTTTAACCTCCAAACCCCACTGATATAAATGGCAAATTATGAATAAAACATAAAATCAAGGTTTAGAGGAGGCAAACTTTTTTTCCCCCCTAAGAATTCCTGTAAAAATTATTTTGGTACAATTACGAAGTTTTAAGTAAGGGGAAATTGTTACATTGACTTTACTGGCAAGAAGCTGAAAAGCAGATTTGGTTCCAGAGGCAGGGGATGTCAGACAAGCTAGAAGAGATTTTATGCACGTTTTTGAAAACTTTTGACATCTCCCCACTTCAGTGGGGTCCAGTGCCTACAGGAACACGGGTACATCTCCCATGGGAACTACAGGTCTAGGGACTAATTTATTTCCCCCCCCCCACAATGTTTCAGACCCCCTCTCCCATTTATGAACTTATTTGCTACCTACAAAAATAAGTGATGTAGCCAGACTTACCTAACGTCCATGCAAAGTAATACTTTGGTTTTGCTGCCTGTGTTACAACATACAGGTAACCAAGTCTTGACAAGAAGGGTGTTTTATCAAGAAATTCATTATCAATAATATATGCCATAGGAAAGTTCTTGGTAAGTGTCAAGAATAAAATGAGAGATACTAGTGTGATACACAGCTTGTACATCACTGCTCCCTAAAAAGCACAAACAACAATGAAACATTCATTAGAAACGTTTGCTTAAGGGAAAAAAAAGGCAGTACTCATGACATACAAAACCAATGCGCTTCAAGAACCAATAAAGTTAGCAGTGACAAAGTTGATAATAATTAATTTAGAAGAGGTAACAAAGAAAAGGCCACAGTCAAAGCTTTGGTTTAATTTGTTTTACTGAACTATCTATAGATAGGTACAAATGACAATTAGAAGTCAAAATTGGTGATGAACTTCACAAGAGTCTCGTACATCAGTTAGTGAAGGTCCTAAAATGAGAAAGAAAACAAACAAAAACCCAAACTCTACCATGTAAAGGAGAAATCTTCCCTATATGGACTGTCATCTCCTGAAACTAAAGACTGGATTCCTCCTGGAAGCCAAAACCATCAGTATCCAATACAATAGTAGGTCTTATTGCCCAGCTACCATCCAGAGGTCTTGCTAAAAATCACTTGTCCAAAAACCGTTTGTCTTATACAGCATGCATACCTTCCCATGATATAGGGTATCTGCTATGCCGTACTGTTTTCTATTACTGCTCCCTAGCTTTCTGTATACTAACACTATTGACAATCATGTCAGTAGTTAGACGCCCGATTTCAAACACACATCAGGAGTAAACTCTCCTTGATACAGTCATAATTAAAAAGTTAAATCTGGCTCTTGGGTACCATGTAAAAATTGACTCACATTCTCAAAAGACTAATAGAAGTGCAATATATTATTGAAACAACAATGCATTTTTTGATCCCAAGTACTCTTTTTATGTACTCTCTATATTCAGGAATAAATTAACGTGCAATTATCTTTAAATAGTTACAATGCAAATTTTAATATTCTCTGCTGACTTCCATCTAACACAATACAGGCCTTATTCTGACCTCAGTCAGACTAATGTAAATCAGAAGTAACACCACTGAAGTCAGTAGAAATACAACCATACACAACAGGAATCAGGAACGTATAGGCACATACTCAATTCCAGAGGAGACATTCTGCACACACTCACAAAGCTACACATTCAGTCTTGCCTTAAGGTAAGAGAGAGGAATCTGGTTCTCATGCTATGTTATCCTGCCTTACAAGAAAGTCATTTTATAAGGTCTTAAGTAATATTAAAAAAAAATAAAATAAAATCAGTGTTAATTGTATGTGAAAAATGATCTCCAAGTCATCTTAAAGTGTGAGATTCTCTTGCAATGCACCTGGACAAGCTACAGTTTCTGATTAGCCATGATTCATGTTCTTCTACCATCCCCTGCACTACTGGTGAGATTTGACTTTTTTTTTTCCCTGACCTTTCCTCTTCTGCCTGGAGCTGAGCTGCAACTCATCATTGTCAGAACCTGCAGACCGTTCCCATCGCTGCACAAAGGACACCCATTAACCAATGACCCATTTTGCAAGCCAAACGCATTTGGGGAATTCAAGAGGAAGACACTAGCCCCTTCACCCCTGACCCTGTGATAAAAACAGCAGCCTCTTCACAGAAGAAAACCACTGTAACGTTTACTGGGAAGATAATCCAAAAATGGTTTTTCTTCTTAGTTTCTAATTATAAGAATCATGTACAAAGCTGTACTCTCCTGCCCTTTGCAATAAATCTTTGTCATTTTAAAACTTACAGTTGGCGAAGGATCAGGAAGTCTGTCATAACCCTTCTGCTTCCAGTTCACTTCTAATAGTTTCATGTGCACATGCCTCCCTTCAATGAAGGCTATATAATCCTTATAATTGCTGCAAGGCCCAGCTATGATGCTCATAAAATTGAGGAGATAGCTTAAATACTCCAGTAAAGAAGGTCTTGTCCTGTGAAAATCATCCACACACAACAAAACAAAAACAAACAAAAAAAAACCCCAACAAAACAAGGTAAAACACAGCAAAGGCTTTCACGAATGCTTTTTGTTGTACGGTCTGCCTCAATCCCCAACTCTCTCCTACCACCGTTCCCCCAGCTGAAAGCTCACTATATCTGTTTTGGAGAAGATGAAGCACAGCCTCTCTTATATCCCAGTGATGTCTGTGTCGTCGGTGATGTCTGGCAGATGGCAGTCAGAACAAGGGTAACGTGGAAGTGCTTAAGCTACAGGTGAACGAATGCTACTGATATGAAAAGTTGTAATCTTATTACTAGACACATTTTAGTTAAAAACAGTCATAAATTTAAATACCCACTCTCAAATTGACTTGTGCATTTTAAACAGGCCAGCAGTACCAGGAGTGAGAAGCTGGTAATTGTTTCTGGACATCTGTCCAGCATATCAGGGACCAGTAAGAGCTGGCAGACCACAAGCTGAGTAACGCAAGTCTCACCGAGCAGTGCAATGCAGTACCTTGCCTTGTTATGCAAACCACTGGGCAGGGAGCATTTAAGACCAGGACTCTCAGCCTGAGAGGAGCTCTCACCCACCCTTCAGTTCAGTCTTCTGAAAAATGGGAAGTGTGATGTGAGACACAGAGGAAGAGAATGAAGAGGCACTCTGTCCTACTGTGCAAATAAAGGAAGTAATTGCCTGTATTGCATCATGAACAGGAAAAGGAACTAAGGGGAAAAAACACATAAATCAAAAGACAGTTGAAGATGGAAGTCAAAGAGAGTCCATCGTGTTTGTTATTTCCATTTTGCAAGTGCATATCCCACAAGTTCCTTGGGGGGTTTTACATTAGATGTAAAACAAAGAAGATCCACTGTCCTTGCTACAGATCAGTAGGATGGAAAAGAAAGATGCACAGGCCTCCCACCGCTAGTGTAATTTGTAAATCGTTGGGCTTGCTTTATTTATGTGGCTGAAAACACCAACATCTAAATTCTGCACTGAGATACACAAATGTCCTAACAGTCGCCATCCAAGTAAACGGGGAGTCCCCGGATGAGAACAGAAACTAGGGCACCGTGTGTGAAGGCTTTCCTGTCCAAGACACAGATGGACATGCATAAGCCAAAAACCACTTAATATTCCTTCAGACCAAAGCATAAATTTCTAGCAGAAAAACTAAGCAACAGTTAAACATTTGCTGTTGCCTACTTTTATTCTGAAGTGGAATTAGTTTGAATAAACAGTTAGCTTAGCCAGGATTTTCTGCATTCCCCCCGCTGGTTATTGTAGATGTTAATGCCTGAATGATACGTTCTCTGGTGAAAGCATTTCACAGAAAGATGCAGCAAACAATTTGGGGTAAGGTTCATCTTTCTGTTCTGCAAAATCGAGTCCGTGATTTGGGCTTCTGAGCTCTACAGTAAGATTAAAAATAAAGTCATTAGTTTCAACTTCGATTCTGCATATGGGTGGGTGGGGAGACATGAGTAATGCACGAAGGAATGTACAGAGGATGAGTGAGAAACAAAAACAGACCAAGAACAGGAGGGAAGACAAAAGGCTGTATTACCAAAGGGGATTTAAAACTCTTCAGTTATGACTTGTCTACAATGACACTTGAGCTATTGGCATGTACTTTTCTATTATGAGCTCATCTACTGTACAAGGAAAAAAAAGCCTGTTTGGTGAGAATTTGACTAAAATTAATCATATGGTCACAAGGGCCCAGTGCAGTTAAACATTATGTTGTGAGCTTTAAAAATAGACACAAAGCTATGGGTCACAGCAAAAGTTATATGAGTCTCCCTACAGGATTTTTGCTTTTCAAGAAATTACTCCCTTCTTACTTTTAGAAGCTCATGGGCAGATTTTCTGATGGTTGAATCTTCTGCCTTGGAAATGAAGGAAATAATTTCCCTGGCCTTAAGCAAATGCTTCATGGTGAAAAGTAGTTATGGTTCTAAGACTAATTCTGTAACACTAATTCTTCTTAAGCGGGGGGGGAAATCACCTGCATCCTGCACTTGTATTGAGAGACAAAATAGAAAAAAAAGGCACTCAAACATATGATCAACATGCTGTCTCCCTCTGAAAAATGAGAAGACTAGTCACATAATGTGAAGGACTAGGAGTACTAACATTATGGAGGGAGATAGGAAAAATAAAATTTCAGTGTCCAAAAGTTATGGCAAAGAAAAGTAGTGCTTGAAATATCAGAGTCAAACCAAAATGGATTTTTACTATGCAGTGGTTTGCTGACAGAGGAGGAGTATCCTACTTGGAAAAATAACATATCACAGATAGGACAAAGACATAGCCAAAAAGTCCATATAGTACAGTCTTAGCCTGAATATAAAAGAGTTGATTCAATGAAGACTAGTTTTTTTGCATGTGGAGTATACATTTAAGTCAATGAGATGTTGCCAAGTACTTTCGTGCTTTACTGACCAGCACAGGGTGATAAAGGCAGAAGTCCTGGATTGAAGAAATAAGGAATATAGCAGAGAATCTATGTTTGTGTAAGGAGGGCACTGACATCAGCATTACAAAAACAAAACTGCTCAAGCAAATTGAAAAACAGGTAGGACTTTTGGCTTATCACGGACTAGAAAGAAGCAGGGAACATTTTCATGGCCAGGCCACTAAGTTGGTTCTGACGTTGCAGAGGAAAAAAAACAGAACAAAAAACCCCCAAACCCTAAACTTGTTTTGATGAAATTAAACACAAATCACTAGGGGAATTAAATTCTTACTTTACAGCAAGCCGATTTTGCTCAGCAGTGAGTTCCTCAGCTTGTCGCCCTATTCCTAGAGAGAAAGAAAAGTCACATTAGATCTTTCCAAAAGCCAAACAGTGAAAGCTATCCCCAAAGCCTTACGTTTGCATCCCACAGATAACTTTCTAAAGCCACAAGCTTCAAGATTTCTTTGTCACAGGCAGTTGTAATACAGCTCAATTCCTAAATTTTAGGTCAAGTACATTCATGTTCTACCCTACCTCTTTACCCAGTTTCTTACCTCTTTCCCCCTTTCTCACCCTTGCTACACTTTCAGAAGAGCAGCCATAGTATTCCCACACACAATGCAACTCGCAATGCCACTAACTGGCAGCGACCCCCCGCAGCCCCTACTAACAGTCCTGGGTTGGAAAAACCTCTGTTCCCAGAAGCTGCTGGCTCATTCAAGCACAAGCCTCCCGCTGGCTCCTTGGTGAGAAATGGAGCATTTCACAGCAGGAGGAGTGGGCAGTGGAAGAGAAACAGGCTCTCAGAAAACAGAAGCTCCACTGGTGTGAACGAGCAGCTTGGCTGCCTTGCTGGAGCAAGCCTAAGCACACACATCAGTAATAATCTGGAATTGTACAAGGTCCAGACTGGAAGGGTGATCTCCTGTTGAGTGCATGAGACCTTGGGGGCCAGAGGTAGAGCACCGACTTGCTGTCCCAGGAAAACTATGGAAAAATCTTGTATGATGGCCAGTGCACAAACAGATGTTGCTCATCGCAAATATCTCAAAATCTTCACTCTGAAGCTTTAGCTGCACATACTCCGAGGAATCCCACTGGCTTCAGCAGAACAACTCACGATGGGATGAGTCGCAGCGCTTGATGCTGAGCACGCATATATACATCTTCACAAGATCAGGGGCTTGGCATCAATTAACACTACTGTTCTAAACCTACTGGCCATAATTACTGATACACAAACAAGACCCATTTCCTAAAAAGACTGTTGATAAGCTGTTCATTTCCATTCTCTCTCCACTATTTCAGTTTGTAAATACTGGGAGGGCATGAGTTTCAGGGAAACAATTAAGCACGTAATTACTTAAGGGCTGGGTATTTTGTTTGTCTGTTTCCATTTATGGGCAGCTGCGTTAAATTTTTACAAATAGAGATTTGTCACTAACGCTTGAACTGCAAGCTGCCTCCATTTGATCAACTGCTCCATATATGGATGTTCACAGTGTAATGAGCCTTTTCCACCATCATTAATCTGTAGGATTCCTGTTTTGCTGAAAATGTTCCTGCCTCTGCTGTTATCTTTTCCTTTCTGTCTGTTCATTTACCTTCAATATTCTAGATGCGCACCTAGGCTGCACACCGCGGCACGCAGCGATATCTGAGCTGGCTAGCTTAAGTAACAGAAGCATAGAAGCCTCAGCAACATGAATGTCAATGACGAGGTCAATTAGCCGAGCTTCAAGCTGCACCCATTATAGCCAGCTAAAAGCATTAGACCCACTTGTGTAAACTTGGCTTGCGAACAATGCCAGACCCTGCAGTCTGTGGTGTGGCCATCACCTAAATCCTAGATCATAACAACTTTATAGCAGGCTACTTATTTAGTCACCCACAGCTTAGAATGCAATGGGCCTCAGACCATCAGAAATTCACACTGCAACATCAGTAGACAAGCAATAACAGTACTGATAACAACTGACATTTCTAGTCTTTGCACTGTACTAGACAGGCATTTTATTAGGAAATAATAGTGCTCTTTGTCACAGCACAGCACAAGACTGAAGACAACGTTATCTTGCTTGCAACTGCGCTTCTCCCTGCACTGGGAAAAAGCTATTGAATTCCATCTCTCGCAACTCATGGAGTATATTATCACTGAATATATCAGTGATAGCACATTTTTGCTACATTAACATGTATCAAACCTATGTATCAAACACAACTCTTGATTTTTGAGAATCAAGAACAGCTTCAGAGAGCTTAATGGAGATGCACTGTAGCATCTAAACAGCAGACACTAGTACTAAGTAAAATCCAAATTGGGCCCCAAGGAAGCAGAGCCCCCAAGGGGGAAAACAGTTGTCTTCGTTACTGCAAAGACAGTTTGATCCTAGAGAACTGATCAAAACTTGAAGTTTCTCGTTTTCCTCCACAAAGCATTTTTCTTCTTCATTTGGAGCAACTTGCTGAACTACATTCATCCACTCCGTAACTCAATCACAGATTGTGCTGGAATAAAAAGGCTGTCTTCAGGCCATGGGAAAAGATTCCTTTTCTTACCATCATGTAACTGGCATGCAAGAGTTGTGATCTTCTGTGTAATTATCATCAGTGGACTATAACAAAGACAGAAACAACAGTTAGATGTCTTGTAATACAAATTATTTTCAACTTTCTTACTGAATGCCTTTATGCCTTTAAAAGGCATAACTGTATTAGCAACAAGTGGAAAACATCCAATTAAAACTGAAGGAGGAACTCAGGCATAAGAAAATTGCCTGGGTTCAAAACAACCCCACAGTAACTTGCACTGGAATTTTTAATTGCTAAGTGCGCGCAAAGCCTTATTTTATGTCTCCCCATCCTGCAGCAGTGCAAACTGTAATTCAGAAGAAATCGCACCACTAGGAAATACCAGCTTCTGCAGTCCACTGGGCTTCCTTTCAGGCAAAGACCAAATTCAAGCTCTGTACGATGCAACACTAGAATACAACAATGCTGCTGTAACATAACTCTGGCTCTTCTTACTGCTACTCTCCTATTGTCTGTCTCTTCAGTGCCCTAAAAAAGTGTTGACTCTGCAGATACAGATGCTTATTTCCCCACATGAATAGTGGGGACTACAATTAGGACTACATGCTAATACCAGAATAGCTGTTAGCACAGCAGTTTCCCACTTGCTTCTTGGCCATGCGACTGCCTTGTGGACAGCCTGTCCAAGATGTACTATCCAACTGGGAGTGTTTGGGCATGCGAGATCTGGAGCCTCCCAAAAACATGAGCTAGCTGTACCTGAGCCACACTTATAGGCTACAACAACCCAGCAGCTTTGGGGCCAACCAAACAAGCAGCGCAGGAATAGCCACTACATTCAATGGGGCTGCTTATACTTCCCGTACCCAGCTTTACAGAGCTTCTCAGCACTGTAGGCACATGTGAGCTGCTGAAGCTAAGGAACAGAAAAAAGGCAAAACTCATCTTGGTGGCATCAGGAGCTGGTCCCCATGAAGGTAAAGGACAAAGCCAGGAGCATTCAGAGGTATGTAAGAAGAAAGATGGGAGGACAACCAACCAGTCCCTCATAGGCAGAGGCTCTAGGGCTAACTGTGATCCATATACAGCTTCTAAGGGCTGTGGAGCCCTAAACAAAAAACCCGGCATGAACACCTGTAATCTGGAAGGACCCATGGCAGGCAAAGCGAGGGACGAGGACCTGCTACCACTGCCTCTTCCCATCTCTCTGCCACTGGGGACACCAGCACAGGGTGCCCGGATCTCACACCATCCACGAGACCTTCACAACCGCAATAGGCAGGAGGTTGCAATGGGTGATGAGGACACATCATTATTTCAAAAGCATTAATTGTGATGATTATATGTAAAAACAGTTCCACCGAAGAGGTTTGTCTTCGCTGAGGATTAATACAATGGATTGTTTCTCGATTTGGTGATAAATTATCAACGTAAACTGTACAGAGGTTTCTGCTTGAACACAAATGATGTCTTCAACACGGAAATTAAAACCTGAGTTTGTGTACATGCTATTTACAGAGTTTGACTGGTATATGGAACTTTTTAAAGAGACATAGATGATTACTCCAAATATTATGGCCATTCATTTTAAATATTGTAATGTATTTTCTGGAATTCAATGAAAGCAAAAAAGCTGAGGGCTTTTTTTTAGTTCGAGCATTGTATTTTCCCCAACGATTTCTCAAGGTAAGAAAAAAAAAGTGAAAGTTACATTCAATGATATCTTTGTCTAAAACAACAGTCAAATATTCACGTTCTGCAGAGATTTTCAAGAGATTCTGAATCATCCTCGACTAAACTGACCTACTGGTTACAATCAAATATAAACCCAATGGCTAAGATAAACTGTTTGCAATCTGATTATCACACTATGATAAATCAAACTGATTTTCAATATAATTAATATGCTGAGCATGGTAAACACAAGAATACCGGAAAAAGACATTCTTTCATTGTAAGTGGTCTTTTTTTTTTCTTAATACTAAATATGGCTGATCTTTTTCAGGAGTCCACATGTAATTCTGCGTTGGTAGAGTAATTTGCATTTTCTACCCAAAAACAGAGAACATGCAGTATCAGCCAATTTCTTAATCAGAAACTATTTTCATCATTTCAGCAGTCTCTACTTGAAATGTCAGTAAAAAAGCTTGCACATAAAATCCAGAACAAGCTTAAATATACACAGATCTGGAATACAACCGTAACACAAGGGTTTGTACAGCAGCTTTCCTTGGGTCACCTAGACCACTGATTGCAGCTAAGGAATGGACGAATTCAGCAATGACTTCTCACCTTCCAGACAACTCCAATATTGTGAAATAGTCATTCTAATTTTTATTCCCATTCATCTTTCAAGAAAATTTTTTTATAAGCTGTTTTCACCATTATCTTCAACATCCTATTTCTCAAAGTAGATTTTTCCATTTACAAAATTTAACTTTGCTTTCAAAGATACATAAATCCCAATCCTTTAAGTATAGAAAAAGATTTTTTTAATCCTTAAGAGAGACAGAGGCTGTCAGTGAACCAGCAGTTCTACTGCAATAAACACAGATTTTTATTTTGTCAGTGCTTGACCTTTTAGCTTTATGGGTGAACACTAACACTTGTTTCAAATTGGTTCAATTCGTTGCATATGTTTCTTATGGCAAGCCCTTTATGCCAGTATTGAAGCGGGTAACTTTAAACCTCAGGCTCAGAGCCAAAACCGTATGCCTTTAAGTGCCTAAATTTAGACACTTGTCTTAGAAAATTGGGCCCCCACCATAAGCCACAGAGAACCAAAATGCAAACAATCCTGATGTGCTGATAACCGAGGGAAGCAGAAGTGCAGTCTGCGCTGAAGTCATACAATGTATAAACACAGAGAAGAGAGAGGTTGTCTTCATCTATATTAGGAATTCACCGCCTCATTGTAACCCTGCAGAACAAGTCAGCCTGCACTTAAATCAGAAAAGATAGACAGTCTACCTCCCTCAAATCCCAGCTCCAGAGGAGACAAGCGAGCACAAAAGTGATGCTGCTGACACCTTGGGTGGGAGGGAGACCCACAAAGTGCATCTGAGATACCTCCACTTCTCTCTCCTGCCATCATCGTATTACATGTCTACATACCTGTTCTATACCCCACTTGGGAAGGTGCAAACTGTCTCTACAGTGGCAATAGGATGACACCCTCTAAATCTTTCACAAGATCAGTATCAGATATCATTAAATGCTTCACACAAAGGGTAAGCAAGGTTTCAGGTGAACAGGGAGCATCTTCCTCCTCCCTCACCCATCTACCATTCCCCCACTGACTTGATCTCACTAGGGGACCAGGCTTTCACTGCAGGAAAGGGCAGAGCACAAAAAAGCAATAGCAGTGCTGGAGCTCTGTCATCTTCTGGCACCCCTTTGGGGTGTGGGGGCCCCCCACCTTCTGCACACTCATACCTGTCCCACTCCTCCCTGGGGACTCACCGATCTCTCCTCATCACAAACACACACATAGAGCAAGTCTAAGACTGGTTTTGTTTCTTCAGAATGAAAAACAGTCCTTTCCCCCATATTTCCAGAACAATGCATGTGGACACAAGTCCTGAATCAATATTAAAAACTAGATAAGAAAAATACATTTAATTTAGGGGAAAAAATATAATCATTTCCTAAACACACATGTGAGTTTTGATTATTAAAACTTGGCAATACCAGAGTATTGAATTGTCATTTCTGTTCAGCCTTTCACGTAACCTCTAATTTTAAACAGCAATAAAACACTGAGCAAGTTAATATGTAAAATACAGCATCATATCACATATAGTCAACTGTTTCTGACATGATAATATTTTAAACTTTAGACTCTTCTGGAAAAAGCCAGAAGTGCTACAAACAAGAAGGGGAGTTAACAAAGCTGTAAAACTTCCAACAATCTTTCTTTCTCCCAAATTTTGAGAGATGCACAGGTCGTTGCGAGTGGGGCAAATTATTAGGTTGAATTTAAAAAGAAAATCTACCTACTATACTTGCATTTACAGATGAAGCATGAAGATCTACCCCTAGAAACAGGACATTGGAAATAAAACACATATTTAAGAAGCCTAAATGACTTGAACTCAATCATATTTGAACACCTTCCAATTGCTTTGCAGCTACACGCTAAGTGCTATGATTCTATATCCTCTACATCCACTACAGTTACAAACTAGCACAGAAGTACAGAACTAGATTTACCTGTGGTGTGATTTCCCGACCCCCCCTATGTTTTATATATTAGCTAAGAGTTTAATCTCAGGTTGTAGCTGCATTGTACCTCCTACACACAAACCATAGTGGCCAACTTTTAACTAAAAAAAAAAAAAAAAAAAATCAAGAAATTACCCCAGGGAGTCAGTATGAAATAGGAAATTTCAACAAATTAAAAAAAAAAACACCAAAACTGTCTTTACCTTACGTTAGATGCCTTGAAAAAATAACACAAGACCTTTAAGCATGTAATGGTTTACAGAGAATGCTCAACAGAGGGTTTTACCCCCCTAATTAAACTTTCCAAATAAAAACATACCAGTTAATGTCATTTTTAAACATGGCTTGCCCCCACATAATAACTTTGCCCAGAAGCACAGGCCAGTGGAACTAAAGATGTTAGCATCGGTTGTAGCCTGCTGTGGGGATCCCCCCCGTATCACAGGCTGGCTTCTGCACTGAGCAAGCTTCGATGCTGATGAGAGAAAAGACGTTTATCAAGCAGAGTCTGCCTGACCTTAGGTAATCCCATGCAGGAATCTGGCACACGCTCACTAGAAATAGTTTCCACTGACCTGATTTCACTAGAAGAGGAGGTGGAGTCAAAAGGCTCACTGTAGACAAGGCTCCAAAACAGCAAACATTTATTTCAGGTTTATCTCTTTAGCCCTGAAGCCATGACGAGAAGTTCACACAGTCACACCCTGCTACGACATTAAGCGTGCTGCCGAGGGGATCGCCGAGCCAGAGACGCCACAACGGCTTCACTGGCAACGGGCTCTTACTTCTGCTTTCGGCACATAGAGGAAAAATATTTCACTAAACACGCTCACGCACTCAAAGCAACTTCCAATTTGCTTCATGTGTTTTTCTGGTGCAAGCTCCCAAAGAATGTTTCTTACGCCTTCATGATAGAAGCATTTCACTTAAAAGAGTATTTACGTCTGGAGAAGTGTCGCAGGATGCACTAGGTATGTGGAGCTCTCTAGTACTGACTGCCTGCTTGAATTTTGGCTAATTCCCGTATTGCAGCTCTTGCAGGGCTTCTGTGTAACCAACGGTAAGTGATCTCAGTCATTTTCAAGCGGACAAATGCCCAGCAGAACAGCCAAGCAGCGAGCGGCCACGGAAAACCGACTGACCTCCCCTTGCTCCCCCTGCACGTGCGCTGCAGCACTGCCTCGGGGGACTTGCTGCCGACCCGAGCTACCCAGAGCAGCTGGAACAGGCAGGCAACACATTGCACTCCATACATTTAAAAAACAAGAAAAGAAAAATAACCAACTGAACTCGCAGGACCAGTTAGTATTTCTGCATTGTGTTTCAACATGGTAACAGAGTATATCTATGTTTGTTTCCATCAGCAAATGTATTTCCTTTGTAAAAAGCGGCTGTTGTACCTTTGTTCCTTTCTTTCGTGGTTGACACTAAGCCACTGAGAGAGGAAAAAACAGCAACAAAGCACTAACCACCCGACAAAAATTCACTGCCTGTAGTGACACTTGTTACTAAAGTATCTGCTTACATGGCTTTTCGAGAGGGCTCTTTCAATGACCACCCCTTTCTAAGCAGTTTGCTGAGAATGCTGCTGCTGTTCTGCATTTGGGATAGAGCAAACACGTAAAGATGTCCATTCCTTCTGGAGAGTGACATCCACCAAAACACTCACGTAAGAGATACAGATTTGACATCTGTAAGGAGGAAAACTACTCGAGTCTCCCTGATAATTCAGCTCTGGTCTCTCCAATACCAACAGAAGATTGAAAGCAATCCCAGTGTGTGTGGTAACTGTCACAAACTGACTTTCTTTTCTGTAAGGAATGGCACCAAGAAACTCACATGTGCACATTGTTCCCTGACATTCACCAAATGAGATGCAATATTAGGAAATTTTGCTCAGACACTGCAAGAATTCAAAGAGGAAACCAAAAAGCGCTAGGGTCAAGCAAAGGATTAAAGCAGAAACAACTTCGTATGGTTGAGGAGCTCCTCTGAATTCTGTCCAAATGATCATATGCATATGGCATTTGTTCATGTAGCTTGCTAGATTGAAACCATATCTATTACTAGTTTCCAAAAATCCCAATCAAGATCCCTTGATTTATTTTAAACTAATTTCTCTCTAAAGCCATAATATTACTATACTCGGTCTGAGCCTGTGATACAAAGAAAAAAACCCAAACTGTATGTTAGTATTACCATTTTTATAAAGTTGTATAGAAACCAGGCAACTTACCAGCATAATCCTCTTAGCATAAAGAAGAAATAAGAGAGAGAAAAAGAGAGAGAAAGAGTTAGGATTTAGTATTCCTAGGTACAATGTATAAACACCATGGCAAACCAAGCAAAATAAAATATGCATGTTTCTCTCAAAGACTGATTTGAATTAAGAGGGGAGCACAGCATTCAGTTATTCTACAATTAGTGTTCAAAAATGAATAGTTTTCTTTGAGAAAGCAGTCAGCAGAAAATTCCTAAATTATGTCACCACATCTTTGTGAAATAATATAAGTGAAAGAACCTGGATAAAATATATATGTATTTTTTAAAAAGTAATTAAAATTAAAGTGTAGCAAACTGGAACTGGTTTTCATTAAAATCTGGCACATAGTTTAAAAAAAAATGCACTTTTCACCTAAGTACTATGCAATACATGAAACACACTTAAATCAAGAAATTGCTGCAAGCAGCTTGAGTACCGTTTTGATTGTGGGAGTCAGTGACCAAACCTACCCTTTGCATGAGTTAGAAGAATTAACTAGTCATCAGTAGAGAACAAGTTTCCTTACTTCTTAACCTTGAAGTGGTGAGTCATAGTTTGATTTTCCAGTTTACTTAAGACATGACTCAATAGTTACCTTGTTCTCCGTTCATCCCTACCTGCATTTTACAAGCTGTGTTCTCAAAATGGGGGGGGACTCCAAAGAAATAGCACAACCAACTACTACTAAAGAACCAAAAAAATACATTTGCAAGCACACATCAAAAGGGTTATGCATGCAAATAGTTAAGTGCACAAAGCAGGTCAAGAGAGCAAATGAGGTACGCCAGCTTTCAGCACCGACATTGGGAAACACTCGTTTAACATCTGGCTTGTCACTTTAGGGAACTGACATTGGAAAGCTGATGGCACTAGAACTGGCTACGTGCCTATTTGATGTGGATTAAAACTTCCTCCTTGCAATCAGATATCACCAGAGACTTACGAGATACTGAGACCTCACATACAAGTCAGCAGATGACAAGGTTTTTGTTCCCTCTTAAAAATTCCCTTAAATCCAGTGTTTTGCCTTCTCAGTGTATGTCACCAGCCACATTCGTCCAAAAGGGTGGGAGGCTGGAGGGAGATGGGCATCGCTCCACGGATTCTGTCTCTGTTGTTTCTGAAGTCCTGAGGGAGAACTTTAAGGCCATCCTTCCAGCCAGGAGCCTGTTTGAATGCTTCCCTATTACCAAATGCAACAGATGTGGAACCATCAAACATGGGAGAACAAGCAAGAGAAGGTTCAGTTGCTGCTCATACATGGTAAAACGGTGGTCAGGGGGTATATTTTGTCTCTCTGGGTCATCACATCTGTTTAGGTATGTGCATAAAGCCTCAGTGGGCACATATTAATTTACAGCTGAGGAAAACAGGTTTTAAGACAGATTTATGAGGCTGACCTGGGTTTGAGCACTTTGGATTGCAAATTTTTATTAATACCGCTACAATATTTTTGTTTATTCTTAGTTTTTAAAATATACCATGAAGATATAGTTCGTATCTATACTACATTTTCCAGTTGTTTATCACTTTGCAGTTTTATGTTTGACTGAAGTTTAGGAATTGGTTTATACCTTGAAGCATCAGGACAAAATCAAATAACAGAGTAAGTTCAGGTATTATTCTTTCAGTACCATTATTATCCTCAAGCTCATCATTAGATAAAAGTAGCTCCCTTTTCATCACGAGAGAAGAAAATGTTACCTAGTCTATAGTATAAACAACCACCATTCCTCCTCTTCCACCCCCACTCTCAACTGGATCTTTATTAAATTTCTTCAGAGGAGGACAGCTAATACGCCTCACAGTGCATTTCTGAACGCACTATTCAGAAAAACATGCTCTCTTGTATTTCTCTGTCTCATACACACACAGAGCTATAGCATTCCAATCCCATTTATAGGCTTCTTGGTATGTCATGCTCTTTCAGGACATGCTTTTGTGTATTAAAAGAACCGCAGAAAAAATTATAGAACTAAATTTCTCTAAATGTATAAGTTATCATTTCTGTCTCCTCCTCTAATAAAAAAAACTCCAAAATCTCAGAAGTTCCCCCCCACAATTTAATTAAATGCTTCAACCCACTACCACCTCACACAGACACACATGCACACAGACAGCAAAAAACTCCAGTTGCCCGTAAGAAGACAGAGGCTTGGAAGAGGCATCTGTAACTTACTGTGCCAGTTTACAGAGGTTTTTCATAGTACGTTACTAATTACTCTGTATTCAAGACATTCAATTAAACAAGTGGAATACGGATTAGCACACTTTTAAAATCATGCAAAAGTATACTTTCCTCTCATAAACAAAATGTATAGGGTTAGCTGTCTATATTTTTGCAAAGCATCCTCTACTGCTTCAGTGAAATCAAACAGAGACTACAGTGTATATGAACACTGTTCCACAGAAATGCATGGCATATAAAAAGTTGTGCTATTTAAACAGCAGCCACAACCTGCCCCCATGAGAGCACCCGTCTAAGACAGGCGCCGAGAGCGAAAGCTGATCTCGTGTCTCTCTGTCCGGGTTACGCACCTGCCCACCCACCTCCCAGCTCCCCCCACCACTCGCCCTCTGCCAAAGCCCTCCCCTCCCGCCTGCTGGAGTGCCTGGGGTGGGAAACACCTTCCCAGTTGGGGCATCAAGATAAATCAGAATGGGGAAGACCCGGAGCCGACAGCTGTGCCTAGGAAAGTGGGAGGAGAGCAGCCCACCCCACCTCTCAGGGCAGACCACCAGGGACCAGGGCACCAGCCGTGCTGCTTGCCAGGGCTATAAGCGCTCCTCCAGCTCCAGCGAGCGACTGTGCAGACTTATCCTCCCAGGCTGCTCTAGGTGGAAGTCTAGCTAACCAAGCTCTACCTTCCTAACTAGATAGTGCCTAGCAAGAAAACAGGAGAAACAATGAAGCAATGCAAAAATCACAGTGTTTATTCCTTCCTTAAAAAAAAAAAAAAAGTCTTAGAAAAAGCTTAAGGGAAACAAAATTGCAGGCACTCCCCAGATAACATTAAAATTATTCTTAAAATGTATTAAATTTAACTAATACTAATTGACACAGGACCCAGCTTGCAGACTCACTCACCCGGAAAAATCTGTAGTAAGAATACCATAATGAAATATGTATATTCGGCTTATGTGGCACAACGTGAGGTATCCCATAGCTACGACAAAGGAGTACCTAAAAACATAACATACAGAACACGTAGTTACCAACACAAATATCAATAAGAACTAGAATCACTCAAATTGGGTTTGGGCTTGTTTAGGAGTAGAGTTTGATTTTGCAAATTAGGTTGTTAACAAGTCTGAAGCTATGTTACAAGATCTGGCAGAAATTTTCAAAGAGGACTAATGGTTTTGTGTACCCAGCTAAAACATTACAGAGGTGTCTCCTCACACTGGGGGTGGGAAAAAAGAAAAGAAAAAATAGAATCACTTCAAGTTGGGAATTTAGTTTCCCACCCTCACACATTATTTTGAAAATTTCTGTCTGACTCAAGTATTTGAAACCAGATGATACTGTCGCTGAAGTTATCCATTGCCTCTTCTATCTGTAAATGTTCTTTATTTACATGTACAACTCCCCAGATCTACCAGAAACTAACATATTTCAACTTTAAGATACTTTCTCTCTTCTGATTTTGTACAAAGGCAGATAATTACACATAGTCTAATGTTTTCAGTTCTAAATACTGAAAGATGCCCCTTTCCAGAAGAAGCATTCCTTAAGCAGAGCTTGACAAATTCACTCTCTGTTTTTCAAGATGACCACAAAATTATGTTACGCAGGACAGTAGCATGACTCCTTCTATCTTAAGAGTTGAACGGTCTGAGGACTGGAGGCGTTGCAGCATCTAGGTGGGGCAGATGCAGCCTTTCCTACAACTAACTTCTCCCTGTATTTACCCAAGCAAGAAAGAGGCTACTGGGGAGGTAAGAAGCAGATGGATATTTGGAAACAATACTGACAAATTAAGCAAACTAGACAGTGCAACAGAGAGCTGGGACACCAGAATGAAACGCATCACATGGACAGGCCAGGACCAGGTCTACTGGTGTCCCCTGCATCAGGAGAAGACAGTCACGTGGAGGAGAAGATGCAAAGATCTACAGAGGAACGAGACTGCACACCCAGCAGAGCTAAGCCATGGGAGGTCAGGCAGGCTGGTAGCACACACTGCCAAGTGGGGTCCCCCCAGACCTATGGGAGGATTGATTATGGTGGGGATCTAAAGGTGAAATCAAACAAGCGGAACAGTCACCAGATGACTGAAAACGAGCCAGGCCTTTGTCAAATCATGGCTGGCTTTAAAAGAAATGAGTTTTTCCTCCCTGGGGACTAATAAACTGCAGTGCAAATGACAGTGATGGATTGTAAGGCAACCTGCAGATCACATGGCCCACAGCAAACAGCTGGATGAAAGGCAGGCTGAAGGAACATGACAGCTTCTTCAGGAGAGTCAGAGCAGAATTAATCTTATTTTATCTCAGTCAGGCATCCAGTCCAGCCTTAGTGAGATCTTTGGGCTCCCTCTCATCCAGGGAGAACGGCAAGCATCCCTCCAAAGGCAAGTCACCCAGCTCAGACATGTAACTGTGACAGATGGGATGAAGCATCTAAAATAAGCCTCAATGCTTAAGCGTAAAGCACCTAGATTGAAAGGGGGGTGAGCAGGGAGAGATATACTGAATCGCTGCTGCAGCTGGGAGCATTTCTGATGCTGGATTAGTTTGTCCATTTATAGGCCTTGAAGGCTGGTAGCCTCACCAGAGAGCAAACTAGCAGAAAATAACCATGGAAAGGAGCATGCAAGTTAAACTATGTAATTTCTTTATTTCATTTGTTCACTTCCACTTGCGTTTTGGGGGGAAAAAAGCCAAGTCTTGGAGCCCCACTATGAAGGATCCAGTGCTCTTACAGGCCCTCTGTATGAACAGGTCCAGCCCTTGAACTGGCATTTTTCAAGCTTACTCTCAAGCAGTTTGTTATTCTGCCCAGATTAATAATGTGGATATACCTTGAATCACACTGCTATGGCTAGTGAAATACACTAGAAAAGTCCCAACCCAATCCTCCCAGCTCTCCTAAGGTCTATCAGCATTTTGGATTGCTATTTCACATTGACTCTAATCAACACATAACTATCTTGCAGCAGTGGGCGACATTATATGAACTGGCTTAATTTGTGTTGCAGTATACAGCTATTTTTCCCATTGTGAGTAATTGGCTAATCAGTAAGAGTGAGGGGGTTTCCTGTTGAAACTGTACCCATTTCCCTACCACCACCTCAACTTGTCCAGGAAAACATAATAAAGTATTGGATGATTCCCTCTGTAGACTTGGTTCCTCTGATCTACGACCAGTAACTCCTGCATTTCCCCCAAATGATGGGCAGGGACAATGACCTGGAGACAAGTAATACACATTTTTAGCACCTTTTCCTTCTTGTCTCTGGATGGCATTTCTTTCATAAACATTGTCCAATTACTTTTTTTTTTTTTAACTTATTACCTCTGGATTTCTGGGCTTTGCACTCTGTGAAGGGGTGGAAAAAACCTCCTTGATTAATACCTATATTGCTGGTGCAAAATGCTAGTGACTGCTATAGACAGGCCTGTTGTTTATGGTTCACATCTCTAAACAATCCTAGAGAAACCATAAATGATGGTTCCCATTTGGACATTAGAGAGGGGTTGCCTCAGGAAGAGCTAAAGAAGATGGGGAGATGATTATCCGAGCATCAGATCCTCAGACAGCCCTGGCCCTGAAGACAAGCCAAGAAAGGGTTTCCATTCCCCAGCCCAGACTGATGCGCATGTGAGCATTCAGCAGCAGCTACAGAAACAGCCACATAGTGTAGAGACAGAAATCACCTGCAACACACCCAAACCAAACCACAGTATTAACCACATGCTCTTACGGAGGCCAACACAAAAGTAAAGAAGTGGGAAGAACTACCAGCTCGTCCTTCTAGCCTCCTATAAAGTAGCAGTTTTACAACTAAAAATTCCTATTTGAGCAGATTGATGGGAAGCAAACAACTCCACCTGCACAATTTTAAAAACTCCCACGCACCGAACCCTAACAGAGAGTATGGTATCCACATGAGAAGGCTCAGTGACTGAGCAGAGTAGTTCTTCCACATGAACTTCCTCTTATTCAGTGAAAGAAGCAGATATAACTACCATGTAGTTTTCATTTTCATATGAAAGTGCTTTTTGTCTTTTGGCCAGGAAGGCACTTGTTTGATAAAGCACATTAGGAGTCTTAGGTGTCTTCCTTCCTCTGAGACTTTTGTATAGGGAAAAGAAAGATCCAATGGTCAAGAACTCCTCATGATGATGCCGTAAGCATCTGCTTCAAAGCAATGACATTTCTGGTACTTTCTACTTTTTCAAGCTCAAAGCCAAGTACCAAATGCAAGACTTCATTTTGTGGATCACTAAGTTAAGCTGCCACAGTGACCTTATTTGAACTACTTAACTCAAGAATAAGTGGAAAATACCTAAAGGCCAAACAGCAAGGGGGAAAACACATTAAAAAGGATTATCAAAAGCGATCCTCAAGGACCGAAGACCAAGGAGAATATGACTTCATTATGCTTAAGAAACCAGAGGTTTGGGCATAAATTATTAAGCCTACAAAAGCCAACTTTTGAGGCCAGCAATTTTGTAGGGACCACAAATGGAGATTACAGCTGCTTCTGTAACTGAACGAACAAAGCTCCTGCAAGTAACTGGGAGAGAAAGGCAGGAAAGAAGAGAAGGTAGTCCTAAAAAACCGTCATGCTTCTTTATGAAAGGAGAGAAGTAGTCAGAGGGGCAGCTCCAGACTTGCAGCCACATCAGCTCACCTGTGGACGTTGGGAATACTTGCCATATTCATAATACCATAGTTCATCATCACCAGGACAAAAAGATGAATGGAATACCTTAAAGACAATAAAGTGAGTATTTAGATAATTTCTATGTGACCTGCAAGGGCTGGCAGTTCAGAGTGAGGGAATATTTTTCCATGCAAATGACATAAATGCGATGTCATATCAGGGTTTCAGTAAACATGGATTAGCACAATAACATCTTTGTAGCCTGAATATCCTACATAGTTTAATACTTACTGACAAGGTATTGTCAATGAGTTTCATTCAGAGAAAGAGCAGCCTAGCTCAAAGTGCACGTTCAAACTAGATGCATCTTTTCCAAAAGAGGTATCTTCACAGCAGACTGGTGTGGCTTTAACTTCCAGAACAAACATCACAGATTAAATACTTCACTTACAAATACTCTCATGGTTCATTTTACTTTGAGGGTTTGGGATGGTTATGCTAGTTAGGAATTCTTTTTTTTTTTTTTTTTTAGGATAACATAGGAAGTGCCTTCAGACTAAAAAGATGTAATCCAGAAAAGCTGATATGAAGTTTAAAAATATTTTTACCCAAGCCTTGTCTACATGGTGACTAAATACTCACCACCCAAAGCAGAAGACAGCGAAGTATATTCCAAAGAGGGTGGCAAATGCATGGCGAACAGCAGAGCTGGCATGACTGGGACCCAAGTAAATACGAAACCAAAACGCAGCCAAAAGTGCAAACAGTTGACAGGCTACAAAATTGATCTGGAAAAGACAAACAAAACAAAAAATGGTTGTGATTCTTGCAGGAGGGGGGAAGGAATCTCTCCATTCTCAGAACAATAAAGAGTGGAGTCAGGAAAAGGGGAGGGGGAAGTGAGAGCAATGTATCTTTTGTTTCTCAGCATTCTCACTTGCGAGCCCAAGCAGTAACTTTCCTTGGCCAACAACAGAAGGGATTAAAAAAGCATGTAGCCACCCAAAAGCTCAGACAGAAGGAAGAGCAGGCTCCAGCTACTCGAGGTACAGGTGGGCTCTGGCTCTCCCCAGGACAGGGCTCTGCTCGGCTGCCAGCAGTGCTGGCACACCAGCCCAGCCCAGGTGCAGGGAACGTCACCCCCAATTCCGTCCTGCTGGTGGGAGCAGAGGCCGAGATGCAGACTGGGACTCTGAAGCATTGCCCCGGTGCCTGACTTTCTCCACAAACCCCAAAAGAAGGGCAAAATCAACAATCCTGATGTGACACTGTTTCACAGGCAATAACTGGACAGCCTTCCTTCTTAGTTGAAATCCTCTACTCCACAGCATCCTCCAAGCAGGCCTTTCCACTTACCAATTTTTTGCAGTTCAAGACTGCAAACCACTTTGCTCTACCACCACTCAGACAGCTAAAGGAAAACTCTTCTCTATTGTTCTTTGGCTACTGCATGTCTCTATAGAGCACAGGATGCCATCTGGCCCCATGGTAAGGCAGCAGCAATGGCAGTGGGAGCACAAGACAGGTATATGCGGAGGGCAAGTAGTCCATGACTAGAGGCTACTCCTGTCAGACACAAGGACAAGCAAAAGCTTCAGTGTCCTCAGAACAAAACTGACACTGCCTTCTTCAAGTCACCTTCTCTTTGACAGCCTCAGCAAAAATCCCAGAAGTCAGAGGAACAACAGCGCTCAGGAGCCGTCTCTAACAGCATTAGGTTACGACATCCGTAAGTCCAGCCTGGACCCTAGACAGCTGGAGTTAAATTCATTTATTCAGCTGCAGTTCTTTTTTTATTCAAAAAAAAATTCACCCTGAGCTCTCCAGCAGCAAGTCATCCTGGACTGAGCAAAACTAAATAGGCTGCAACATTTAAGCAATCACTTGGATTAGAGGATTATCCAAAGCTATCAGTCCAGGACAGGATGATACATCTCACTTGGAAATGCTCTGACATGCCGGCTGTCCAGAAGTGGTTGGATTCAACCAGGCTTCTTGTCAAAACCATTTACAATGTGTTTAACAAGACACTACAGCCCCAAACTGCTTTTATTCTGGTGGACTAGATCCAACATGGTGCTGTTCAATCAAATGCTTTTATTAAAGGTTGGTTGGCTACATTGCTCGTGTTCCTTTATTTCAGTGATGCAGGCAGCCATGCAATAGAATAATGCAATAATTTAAATATTTAGATATGCTGAATTTTAGTTCTTTGGAGCAGAGACAATATCTATTTATTTCTTGTTCATGTAAGCAACCAGCATTTACAACAGACAGTATCATAGAACTACACCCAAAAGCAAGTAATTAGCAGTGTCTTATTATGACAATACTTTACGCTTTATTTAAATAAGACAATTCTTATTTTCCGTACAAGATTTCAAAAGTGAGAGAAAAAAAATTGCACTGGTCTCACAAAACCCAGATGTTGTAGTACAAATCCCAAACTCCCACCTGGTTTATTACAATACAGTGACACTCAAAACACTAACTCCTCCCCTCCCCTCCTTCCACAGCCAGAGGTACCGCAGAAATGGCTGAAGAGAGTACATACCCTACAGGGCTGCTCTGATCACATCCTTTCTAAGCAAGTTTCCAAGACTGATGGATGCCAATTCATCAGTGACAATCCAGCGAACCTTAATCCCACCTCGGCCTGCTCCCACTTAGCGTCATACTAGTACATCCAGCGGAGCTCAACTTTGTGGCATGCAGAGCCCCTCTGATTCAGTATAAAGAAGGAAAGTGCAGAGACTCCAAGAAACCTGATGTGGCTGATTGTTTAAAAGACAATACCCCTTCTGTGCAGCGTGAATCATGGAAGCTTTACACCAGTAAAAACCATCAAGATAAGGAAGCGTTTGCTTTTTACTTTCACCCAGTTCTTGTATGTTCAGTCTGAGATGTTAAAGATGCTGCAACTTCAGAGGTTCACACATACAGCAAAATGAAAGTGCAAGATCCCATGGCAGACACACCTAAGGCAGGTAACCACAGCAGCAGCAGAAAGCAAGAGATTTCATCACAAGCTAACATACAGTACACAACAGCACAGCACCCTTGCGTACATACACTGTTGCTCGCCTAAACTATCAACTCCTCTGACCATGTGTTACCTGTGCTTGGATTAAAGTTAGCACGAGTACACCAACCGTGCCACTATCACATCTTCATTTTGTTGTGCAAATTAACCAAGACAATTTCTTCTCTGTGCTGCTTTTGCAGGAGTTAGGGTAAATCCTTGTACCAGGATAAAAGCAAAAGTACACACTAGCCTTGTGTTTCAATCAGCTTTCAATTTATAAGGGTTGTTTCTGTAGAGCAGCCAAACACCACAGACCCAATGTACTGAGCAAGCAATAATTGCAGAATACTAGTTTTCATTTACACTTTTTGTACTGAATTAAGCTAGAAAGTACCTTGCAGAGGAATGGCTACAACACACCATTAAAAATTACAGATATGATTCAAAAACCTAAAGATTAACCTTACTTTTCAGGATCCGTAAATGACAGTGATGGTGTTGAAGAGGCACAAACACACATCAGGATTTCTGAGCGTCATTTGAACACTATGTGACCTACCACAATAGCATAAGGGAAGTGAGAAGGCTGCACCCAATGCCTTGCTTGGGAGATTGACTCCCAGATACAAAAAAAATACAGTCTGAAATGCAGAAAGAGAAGATTTTCGCTCACTGGCTGGGAACATTAATACCTTTGCCTTTGCCCTCCCTTCTGAACTGCAACCACCACAGCTCTTCGGCAGCTTTCCAGGTTCCTTTCCCCCATGGCCATGTTTTTCTAACAGAGAGCACTGCCCCTAAACACAACAGGCTGCATTTGTTTTTCTTTGTCTACCATTAAGGCTTTCAAGGGTTTTTGTGTGTATTTACAGTAACACATACACATTACAAACAACATGATTGGTTTTAAAGGATTCATCAGCAGAGGGGTTGGGAGAGGGATACCAATGAACAAGAAAGCCAGGTAAATACAACAATTACTGATAAAACCTTTCTGTCATCCATGAGGTATTTGGTACCTGTTGGACTAAAACGTTGTGGAATAGTACTGGAGAATACTTCTTGTATCTGTCCACCTATAAGCCTGCACTTGAAATCTGAATGCACTGAGATGACCTCTGATTTCTGTGGGGTTCAGTCTGAAGATCCAACTTAGCTGTGCAGAGCTCACTGCAAGGTCTAGCACATAGCTTACTGCAAGACTGGCTTTCACAGGTGCTAAGGAATTGCAGAATACTTCTGCAGATCAATCCCTTCTGAGTTTACCTGAGCCAAACTGAAAGTGTGGATAAACCAGGACAAATCTTTTCTTAACTATAACCTGTCACAAAGAGAGGGAGGGAAGTTGTTTATTTCTTGAGTTTGGGGAACGTAAGACAAATACCAAGACACCAGTAAAACTGGGGAGCTCCTTTCCAAGTGCTGAAAAATTTGTTCTGCCTGGCAGGCTGAACTCTCTATTTAAAACTGAGCACTAACTTGGTACCAGACCAGATCCAGTCTGTTCTCCACAGAGTAATAGGGGGATACGGTAGCTTGTCATATGACTACCACCTCTATTTAGTTATTTATATGTAACATTTTAAACACATGCAGCATTCACATGAATACACACGAAGTTCATCTGACAGTGACTTTGCTGCACTCCATTTAACATAAATTTATTCTTCACTCTACATATTTAAGGTACCTAAGTAAACAGATCCCTAAGATTTTAAGAAACAAGTGAAGTAACAATCACACTTTCCTCCCTTTCCTTTCTCAAAGAGGAAAGGGTTCGTATTATTCCCTTTTATTTCCACTGTTGCTAAAAACATTTTGTAAACAGTAAATTGAGGGCTTCTGAACATTGATGAATGGTGTCCACACAAAAACAACATGGAAATAGAAAAGAAATTATACAAGAACTAACCCTTCTTATTCCGACCCACTATTATAAGTCATTTGACCCATGTTTTTAGCTAGTCACATCTGTTCAGTGTTGCCATCAAATTTTTTTCACATCTGGTTTCAACTTTGCTAGCGGAAAAGAAACACCTTTGCTTTTTACAGTAATTTTCTTCCATGCTTTAGCGAGTAAGATGTAATAAAATCAGGAATCAGAGCACATGATATGTTGCCAAAACAAGACACTATCTTCCTTTCATTTTCCATGATTAAACATTGGAAGACAGAAAGGCAGTCTCATCTCAGTATCCTGCACCAACATCTGGAAGACTTGTATCTGAGTCACAACCAGCTGAAGACAGCCTTGCAATGCGGAAACAAGGTATCTGCACTTTTGGAGAGAGAAAATCTGGAACAGCTCCAGATGGATCCAGAGCATGTAAACACCAGGTATGAACAACGAGGCGGGGGGGGAACCAAACCACAACATGTAGTTCCTCCCTTTATCCATTCAAATTCTGTAGCAGCAATAACTCAAAGTGATGTTTAGACTGCAAAACTGAGTTTTATACAAAGCTAGCAATCAGGTCAAACCAACCGACCAAGCACCTATGATGTTTACACAAGAATAACGAAACATAGATCCCCTTATACTATCATGCTAAAATCAAAGCCCTCAAAGTACACAAAAGGTTAGTTCCATCTGCCTCAAGCCTTTGCACCTTCTCCCATTTTTAATAGGGTGAAACCACCTTGGCAAATGTTGGACTGGTACTGTAGGAAGGGGAAACACAAACTCCGCGGGATATGGAGTAACCTTTTCAGTCACCTCCAACAGGCAGGGCATATTGCACGGGAAAGTCAACTCTTCAACTTGCTAACCATTCTCAGAGGAAAACCATAAAACTTTTTTGCCCTATCTTTTACTGGGTCCCATTAACCATCTGCACTTTTGTGGGCACTTTTAAGGGCAACAGCCAGTTGGCAAGTCACAAAATAAAAGTTCCAAATACCTGGCATTAAATATGAGTGTCTCAAAATCTCAGCGTTTGGAGGACATGAGCCCATTGCCGTTAACACTGAGTGGGAACAATTATCACCTTTTGTTCTGGAGGCAAACTGGCTCCATGATGGAGGTTAAAAAAAAAAAAAAAAGTAGCAATTTGTCAAATTCCTCTAACAGGAAAGTTATGGAGCCATAGTGCATTTCCAAAAGGAGACAGGTAAATGCATTGTTTGGTGCACTGGAAAATGACCGAAAAAACCCACAAAAATCTTACAAGGAGAAA